CCCCCCCCCCCCCCCCCCGCTCCGTCCCCACCGAGTATATCGTTTACTCCATTTATCGCACCATCGCGCACGGTGTGCCATGACTGGCCCACCGGTACGCCCGGCGGCACCGGCGCTAGCTTGCGCGGTCGTCGCTGTAGACGAGTCTGGGCGGAACGGACGGGTGTAAAGTGACCGAGTGTTGTTGCCAAAAAATAGGCCATCGACATGAGACATGGAGCGACAACCGGGCACAGTACTTTTCTCACCAGAATCTGGTCTAGTTTCTTTCTCCCCGTTGTCCACCACGCGCTCGAGTCCCATCGCTTGAACAGCGTTGTAGATGCGAGTGTAAAGCCTTTGCATGTCGCCAGCGAGTATGTAAGACTTTATCGTGTTGGTGATCTTGCCTTCCTTATGGTATCGCGTGGCTAAGTCTTCCAGCTTGCTTGTCGACACACCTCCTGGAGGGGAGACACATCAATTTTCGAGGTCTCCGAAGCCTTGGCCATATCGATCACCTGCGCCGTGATCCTTTCGTATCGTGCACGCAGCTCCTCCGGCTTCTCTTTGTTGTGATTGCTCGCACCTACGACATCCTTGGACAGAACGGTGCATAGTAGAGCCACCACTGGCGCGGAAGCACCGATCTCGATGCCTCCCTCCGGCAATAACTTCAACACGGTCAATGCCATGAATCTCGCCCCTTCACGCGTGGCCTGGATGGCGTCAGAGGCCATGATCGAAACGTACCGCCTGCCGCACGCGCCAAGAGGGAGTCATGGTTCAGGTTTTGCAGAGCTTTCCATCGGGTGACGTTCAACTCCTGGGACGTGATGATCACATGTGCAGCATGTTGAACTATTTATGTGTATCAGTGCTTGTAGCAATATGTTTACACCGCAGTAGGACGATGTAAAAGGCCTCGGGGAGACGAACCCATCGGATTGAAAGGGCACCGTAGGAAAGTATTGCATACCACACCCCTCCGACTATTTTCCGCGCCCCCAACCCCACAGCGGTTCTGCTTCATGGCTATGGTTCTCACACGTGTCGTGTTTCTCTAGATGATATAGGTTAGGGAGTGGGGCCACGTGTGAATGGCCTTAGCCTGGCCCCGTTTGGATGTGATGTGATGGTTGAATAGAACATACGGTGTGGACAGACAACAAAGCCTTGACGATTCACATATTCTGCTGTACACCTCTTGTTCTGTGGCACGGCCCCCTCTGTGGTGTGTTTACTCGAAGAGCTTCTTCAGCAGCTAGTATGTATGTGGTTTCGCGTGTTCAACGAGGCCATCATTCCCACAGACTAGGGAAGATGGTGTGAAGATTGGGGAAAATTTGCAGTACGACTTAAGAGGAAGTTAAAGCCGAATTTTAGAGGGGGTGTTGTTACCTGTTCCAACCCTCTCATATAATCCGTAGCCTGGAATATGGCGGCAGGGGCAAGACCTGGCGTAGATGGAACGCGTGTTTGTATACATAGATGAATTATGTGGGGCCGTGGGGTTCTCTGGCGTCTGGTTGGGGCTTTGCGCGTATTTGCGCGTCGTGTGCATCAGACTTGAAAATACGACGTTTTTGCTCTGAGGCAGGAGTAGGTGTTCCGTAACGGGGTCGGTGCACGCGGCAATGGGGGTTGCATGCCTTGTGGTCGTGCGGTGACGACCACCGGGCTGTCGCGTCGTGGGGTGAGGTGAGCGTGTATGCATCTACAGACCCGTGCCGCACCTAAGAACCGCGTATTTTGCGTGAGGCTGGTTTTCGTATTTTGTCTATGGGTTAGACTACCCCCATAGCGATTACATAGGTTTTTGTGTAGCCTTCTTGACTGAGCACCCGTTCTTATGGTCAAGTTCTTATATTTTGGACATTTTAACGCTACAATAAAGTCCTTAGACAACAAACGCACCAAATTCTTAAGCGCGGGCCGGTTCTATAGCACCAGTAGAGGTACTTGGATGGGCAACATGGCGAGAGGGGCAATGTACACATGGGTTGCCACACTGCAGAGCCTACCGGGTGTTCCTTGTTTGCCAGAGGATTGCGTTTCAATTTTCGTTTGTGTGGCCAAGCCAACAGGGGCTGCTTGTAGAGACAGGCTTCAAAGTTGGGTGGGATTCGAATTTATATTTATATAGTTCTCAACGTGTTTTGCGGTCAAATGCGAACCTTGTGGTTGCGCCATCAATGTCAATAAGCAGAGGTCTGCCCAAGCCTTGCAGGCTCCACTCGGCGTCCACTTTCATGGCCCTCATCTGTACCGATGCCGCCGTTCGCAGCTTTTTCAGCTTAACTCATTGGTTTGACTGCATTTGACCCAGGTACACACAGAGGGCACACCGCTGCGAGGATCGTCTTCAACGCTGTCGAGAGAAGGGTTCGGCAATCGTAATTTTACTCCTCGCACTTTGCGAAGAACGACCGGCCAATGAAAATATTTCACTTCCACGAATGGATCCCTCGCCGGGGGGGAAACGGACGACGTTGCGATACTGTAATTCGTGAGAATGGGGTCACAAGGCGGAATGATCCAGGAGCGCGTCGTTGTGAGACCACACGCGACGCGTAGAGCGTGGCCAATCGCGCTAAACACCCTTTGCATCACTCCCGCAGGGCAACGCGTACCTCCAAGCTCGATCTCGGAGAAAGCCCGCCATTCACAACCGGTCAATCGCTCTTGACTTGAGGCAGAAAATACGACGGAGGAGTACAAAACACGAGGATTTAGGGCCATCTCCGGAATAATCACGCAAAGCGAAGCGATTCTGCCTCTTAACAGGCGCAGCCCTCGTCCATCTCACATTTACACGCGCATTCCGAACGCCGGGCTGTTCCATCGCTAATAACAATGCGATCCTTTCCCTTGTGGGAAAAGCAGCGTGTCGCAGATAATTCCATGAAGCACCGGGCGCTCGATCCGATTGTGATTTGCGATCGCGCGAATTTTCAATTTCTCACCCAAAACGATTGGTATATGTCGTAGATGCAAGCGACTGGTCGCTTAAGTTGGTGAGTGTCATGGAGCTATCTATCAAAAACAAAAACTAAATGTGTCCCTACATGAAGGAGTCTTCTTGCTCACGGGCGGTTTATACCACCAACAGTGCGTAACCCCGACGTACAAGTAATACCCCTTGCGGATTTCCCTCTATCGCCCCTCCATGCAGCCAACTCTCCGCTCCCGCAACGACCCTCCACCTCCTTCGCCGTCGTTAGCGACATCCACCCCGTCTCACGATGACGGTGATGTCATCAATTTCGTCAAAAATTATTCGAAAATGCCAAGAAGTTGGCTGCTTCCCCCTCCCTCCCCTTCCCTGGGAACTCTGGCCGGCACATGCCTGATCCCGCTTCGTAATAGTCATCAGGAGACGCTTGGGGTTTCCACAGGACTATTGGCGCCGCCTATCAGTTCGCCACGATCCACTCCGCCACGCGCCGGTGGCTCCCGCGGACCGCGGCGTCGAAGCACCGCTGCCTGTCCCAGCCGCAGTCGATCTTTCTCAGGTACTTGAGGGCCTCGAGGTGCCCCTGGTGCGCGGCCGACCAGCAGGTGACGTTGTCGTACCGGCACCCGTTCTGTATGGCCCACCGCAGGACATGCACGTGGCCCCCCGCCGCCGCCATGTGGCAGGTCCACTCGTCGTCGTCCCACCCGACGCCGCTCTTCCTCAGCCACTTAAGCACGTGGAGGTGCCCCCCCCCGGCCGCGGCGATGGCCGAGAACTTGTCCCACCTGCACCCGCTGGACTTGAGCCACTGGAGGAAAGCCAGATCCCCCCGCCGCGCCGCTTCCGAGAACGTCAGCCCGTTCCAGGCGCACCCGCTGCCCCTGGCCGAGCGAAGGAGCTCGAGGTTGCCGAGCCGTGCGATAGCGGCGCACAGCTCCGGCCGGTCCCGCGGGAGCCCCCGCTCGAAGCTGTACCTCAGCTGGGACACGGACGAGTCTTCGGTGACCCAGCTCGTCACCGCCGGGCGGCAGCCCCAGGCCTCCCTCCAGGCCCTGGAGACCGGCGCGAAGAAGAGGAACTGCTTCTCGGCCACGAAGCGGACGATGCTCCGCAGGAGGTCCACGTTGTCGGCCAGGATGAGACCGCTCCCCCGCCAGAGGTCCGTAGCCCCGTCGCCGCCGCCGTCGTCGGAGTCGTTGTTGTTCCTGAACGCCTGCACTTTTTTCGCGCGTCCCACAGCAGCAGCGACAGCGGCGGCGGCAGCAGCAGCAGTTAGTTAGTTAGCACCCGCATTTATTAAGGACTTGGTATTAAGTGGGTAAGAGCCTCGAAACAACTCAAATTCTACGACCTTGAGGACCATTCGTGAGCTCGGCTAAGAACCCCTACGTTATGCGGCCGATTGGAAGCACAACCCTAGGGTTTAGTAAGAACCCCAGCCTCGACAAAAACAAGTCGATAAATGCAGCATCATCGAGGCAAGGGGAGAAATAAGTCCATGGGAGGGAGCGCTTGCGTGTTCGTGGTGGACCCCCCGTCAGGGAAGGACAGCTGAACGTTTCTTAGGGAAGAAACAAGCAAGGCATGCATCGCAAAGAAAATCTTCTTGTGCGTGTGACCAAGCTCGTTTGTTTGAACGGCATCGCTCGATGGTGTGGGCATTAGAACATCCGAACGACGGCTCGTAAATGGGATGGCGATTGGAAAGAAACAAATGGGGGTACAGGAAAACGACTCATTCATTGCGCATATGCCCTGCCCTAAACCAAAAAACACGTGGTGAGTCGCTATCTGCACTATACCGGATATCCACACTACCCCAGGCTATGCACCATACGAGGTAGCATTGAATGCGTAGTAAATCCAAGGGTTCCAGCCCCCATCAGGTAAATGGCCGAAGTGGGTTCGGTGCTTGTGTGGCCGCGGTAGAATACAGATCTCCGGGGTAAGTCGAATTCTTGTTTCGCGCGCTTTTCCGCTTGGCCTCGCCTCTCCGTGTCTCTTCCTCGAAAAAATGGAACTTCGTGAGTCCTGCGTGCAGAAATCATGCTCTTCATAAGTACCGGTGAGCGTAATACTATAATGAAACGAAGAAATCATGCTCTTCATAAGAACCGGTGAGCGTAATACTATAATGAAACGAAGTAGACGCGGCGACACCATATATGTTGTAGGGTTCGGGTTGTGTATTGATGGTGCTTCATCCACAACTGGAGGAAGAGGTCTTCACGAGGTTGTCGCGCCTAGATCTCGACCGCAATCATCCCTTAAATTGTCGTCGAATATTTTTTCAGCCCTGATTTTTTGTGTGTTAGGGGTCAGAGAGACCGCAAAGCACAACAGCAGTGGGGAAGGTGAAGAGGGTAGCAGTTAGAAGTACCACAGACACCGGCACGCAAACATGCGACCCGTAGACGTTCGTCCTTGTTCGTAAATTAAAGCATTCCGGAGGTACAGTAATGAATTGTGGGAATGAGGGGCTACTCGGGCTGCTGCTGTCGTCTAACATCGAACTGCTGTACATACATGTACAAACCAGCACAGCACATTGCCGAGGGGTGCGATCAAAGAGCACGGATCCATGTGACAATTCAGACTCTGTCTTCTAGTAGCCCCCCCCGCCAACATATCTAAATGCATAACCGGGTGTCTGGTGTGTGCGTGTGTTGGACGCTGCAGCCACTGGGGCGCTTGGTCGGAACAACTTCCGGCGTCGCTTCAGAGTTCAGACCAGGTCCTTTCACTCCTATTTCACATGATTCCCCCCACAACTTGAAGTTTGGTATGTAGTGCGGTACCCATGGATCGTTCTGCGTGTGCGCCTTATGTAAAACAGCAGTGCACAATGACAAGGAACAGGGAATGCTGCCGTGTTCCATTCTCTTCTCTTCTGCTGAAGAGGTTGTAAATGTACTATATAATACCTGTACTGCGCTGTAGTCCACTCCTCGCACAAACGGGAGAGGTGGTACTGGGTGTCCGACAGCCGTCCCTCGCGACACATGCACGTCGCTGCTTTCCTTCCCTCTGTGATTTGCAACTACTGCTGCATGTAAGGGTCTGGTGCTTCGTCGACCTTGTTGCCCGTCGCGCCTCCTCGAAAACGTACTATATGCATTGTATGAGCTGGAAAACCTACCTGTGCTTGCACCATGGATCACATGCAGTGCGAATCGTTACACTATGTTGGTTGACCAAAGGCAGCCGGCGTTTGTGTATACGTATATGTTCAACCTCCAACCTCTATGTCTCATCGGCACGAACGGGGGCTACTGCGCCATAGGTGTGCCCAAGACATAGAGAGATGGTGTTTCTCGGTGTCCATCATTGGGGCCGCGTCCTTCGGCGTGCCGTGTTCCACATAACACCCAGAGTGTGGAGAGGTCGGCGGTTTGGTATGTAGTGTGAGTATCCCATCTTGTATTGATGAGATAAGATATAAATGATAATTCCAATCGCCGCTTTCTGGGCAAGGACATCGCGCACACCACCGGCGCCTGCGTGTCGCCTATGCGCTACAGCAGTAGTTTATCGGCAAAGCTGCTCCATTCGTGGTAATAGATAGCACAGACCGGCCTTCGCCCCCCAGGCACACACCATACGACATAATATGCGTGCGTGCATCCTCTTACCCTGGTGGCACCACTGCTCCCTCTGCTGCTCCTCCTCAGCCGCTTGATGGCGGCAGGCTCTTCCTGCGGAGAGGAAAGGCATGTACCCATCCGGCCACACGGAAGGGAACAAAGAACGAGATTCCTCCGTCCGGGAGAGAAGAACACGCGCCCCTTGCACAGCAGCAGCAGAACCGGCCGCGGCTGCCTGCTGCCTCTCGCACACAAAGGCACGGCGCTGCTGGCTGTGCCGCCGCTGCCGACCCGCCCGAAAAAGGTCTCGCGGAACGCGCGTATGTATGTACAGAGTCTCAGGTTTTTCGCGAAGCACCTTGCCAAACAAATCTCGAATCTCGATTTCCGTGCGCCAACCGATTCCAAGACGAAAAAGCGAATGTTCTCGTAAGACTACTTGTGGTCCAGAGAGAAGAAACGGCGGCAAAATACCCCATCGGACTGGTATCGAACAATTGTTATGAAGGGGCAATGGATTGGGGGGGCGGGCGGCCAGATTGTGACGGATGGATGTGATGGAAATAGCAGTAGAGGGTGAGGTCGAGGTGGGAAAATCATCGGTGCTTTGAACTCCTTTCGTGCTCTCGAAAGAGGGGAGAGACGATCATCGAGATCCAAGATCCAAATCCACCGTCGAAAGTCTCTCCAGATCTAAATGTTCCGCGCAGCGTATCCTCCACTGCTGCTGCAATCCTCCCTGGACCTCTTGCTCATACTGTATGATGATCTGGGGTGTATAGGTGTGCGCCGCGAGGAGGCAACCGCAACCTCGCTTCTGGGTGTGACGACTACTGTTCACGGCATTGAACAGCCGCCTGTCACGCTCCTGGTCATACTTTGGGAAAATTCGCTTTTTTGTCAACTATTGGTCTTTGGCGTCGAGGTTTATTGTTTTTTGTTTTTTGTTTTTCTCCCATCATTGGACTCTGTCGTCTGCCCCACTGGCCCCTATCCTCCACTTCTACTAGCTAGACGACCCAACCGGGGTCACATAGGAGGGCGGGGTTGGACCCCCTCCTGCGGTTCATGCCTGAGGTATTTTTATCGCGAGAAGGGTACGGCAATCCCTTCCCTCGCAACTTACGAAGTCGATTATGGTTTCCTAACAAACGAGCTTTGCAGCGCGTCGCTTTCATCCCAGACCAGGATTAATGTAGTGAGAAAAAAACTTTCTCTGCCGGGACTCGAACCCATGACATGGCCCTTAGCAGGCTGCGAGGCTACCCACTAGACCACCGGGGCGACCGGGTGCTGGATCCTGATCCTGTGGCCTTGAGGGCTCTGATCCGGGGTTACACCGAAAGCTACACCACAACTAGCTTTCTCCTCATCCCGCGGGAGGGTTTCTCAAGTCCGTTCTTTCGATCAGTGCTCATCTCCGCATACAGCAGTACGGATGATATGCATAGTAATAGAATATCTCCGCGCCGTTAGTCTACTATTTTCAAAGGAACGTCCTCCTCGCCGCTGATCTGCAACTAACTAACTGCCCACCGGCCACCCCGCGAGTAGCCCCTCACCCTTTCGTGAGTGCTTGGTATCTTGCAGCTGTCGCGTTTTGGGGCCTCTGTTCTTACGCCACAAAGAAAGGCGGGTTCGTTCTTGTTCTTAACACCACATCGGCCCTGAGGACGCACGTGTTGTTGTTATTATTACCGAATGACACAAGATAACACACCCCCTTGACCGATTTTTGAAGCTCGATTTCTCAACTGCCGGAGCAGTCACAGCGCCAAAAATGGCGGCGTTGAAACCGTCTCGTCAAGAGATTTTCGAAAATGTATCGTTTCGTTTATGCATCCTCTTCGTCGTGGAGTAATCGAGGTTTAAAAATCATTCCAGGAGGTGCGTAATCTTGTGTCATATACGGTATTATGTGGTCAATATATATATATTTTTTCGAGGCGGCATTTCTTAACTGACAAGTTCTTAAGTGCGAGCGCTATCTTTATCTTCTGACCATGATGATGGTAGTCCCAGAAGCAACATAGACATGGGCCTACTCTATTTGATATATATAGACTATATTGTTGCGTAGAAACACGCACGGCAACGATCGGGAGGCAAAGCAAAGACTGAGGAAGAGAGAGAGTAGGCGATGAAAATATTAGTTTTTTTTTAAGAACAGTGGCCCGATAGGGACGTTTTTTTTTTCAAAAAAACAATTGTTTAGATGGGGGGGGGCAAAACGGGCTCAGTAAGTCTGTCTGTCTGTCTGTCTGTTGTCTGTCTGTCTTCTGTCTGTCTGTGAGCCTCGATATATTTCCCAGCAGATTCCAGCCCATTTCACCATCTCGGCACAGAGTTGTAATCTAAGACGTGTTCACAACAAGTAATATTTTGCCCGAGCTGCCCCAACTGCTACCTTTTGATTCTGTGCTTGGTGCGTCGAGATAGTGCAGCGTCGGTGCCCAACTTGAAGCAGGGAAGTTTCTGGCCCCTTGCAACACCGAGAGGAGGCGCCGTTTGATTTTGAACCAAGACAGATAGCCTCGCACACCACACACCACACACATACATGCATACAGAGCCAGACATGGACAAACAGGGAGAGGGAGACACAGACCACAACGAGGGCGAGACGGCGGGAGAAGGGTGTGCCATACACTGCTGCTGTTTTAGTTATCGGCGGAGGAAGCGAGAGGAGATATCAACATTTGGTTGCGGCAGAAGCAGCAGCAGCAGCAGCGGCCTCTCTCTCTTTCCGCGGAGAGGGGCACATGACACCAACAACACACAGACGCTGCTACGGACCACCATTGGTGCGACATGTACTGCTGTACGCCTCTCTACACGATTGTGCGCGAGGGTCTAGTGTGCGACCAGTGCGTCCCGTGCTAGCCTGGTTACCCATCACACGCTTGAACGCGTTTTGGTTGTTTGAGATGTATTTCTCGATCAAAGCTCGAACCAACAAGCGAAGAACAACAGCAAAGACATTTGATTTTATATTAGCTGCTAGCCCTATTTCTTAGTACAACACACCCCTCCCTCCCCCCCGGTGTCTACCATCGGGGTGGGTTTTCGTCGCTTGGCAGCGACGTTGTAAAACAGCCAATTCATTTCGTGAACTTGGTGAAGGCCACCCTGACTCTCGAAATCATGGGTTCGAGTCCGTGTGGAGGTAGGTGTCATTTTTTTCCAAGACATATATTTTTTCCGAGTTCACTAAAGTGATTGGCGCCCCCAACACCTCAATCAATATATTGTAATACTGCTGTCTGTGTAGTAAACGGGCCAATGGTAGCAACGCACGAGCCTACTGCAGGTACGTTTTTCAACAAAGAACTATTCCACCTCCCGATCAAGTATACTTCATACATACGCTGCCTCTCCCTGTAAAAGTCAATACGACAACACGTACGTACGTACGTACGTCTGTCTCCTAAAAATATATAACAACAGCAAGCAGTGGTCGAATATAGTAGTCTATTATTACATGAAAAATCTCTACTGAGAAGAATTGCGCGCTCAGCATTAAATGATTCTAAGTATAATTCGTATAAATGTTGTTGCTGCTGTGGAACATAAAATCTTAGCTGACCAAAAACTTGCTGTTGAACGATGGGTAATGGAAGACATTACTCGGAGTTTCTGCATTTTTTTGCGTGGGGGGGATGGCAGAGTAAGTATTTATCGGCCGCGTGGGTAGCGTTGACACAATTGTTCCCGCCCCCATCACTACCCCGGTGTTTGCCATCGGGGTTGGGTTTTCGTCGCTTGGCAACGACGTTGTAAAACAAGCCGCCCCCCCCGGTGTTTGCCATCGGGATTGGGTTTTCGTCGCTTGGCAAAGACNAACCATAATGGTGGCCGAGTAGATCATGTTGTGCGGGGTCGAGAACCCTCACTCCGCGCAAGGGGAATGATCGCACGACGTTGTGTCAAAATGGTCAAGCACCCTCGAGGCACTTACACAGTGCTTACAACTGTCTCTGGAAGTGAAAGCACTAGAAAATAAATTAACTCATACGCAGCTGTCGTCCGTACGCAAGGAAGTAAGCACAAGATGCCGAACACCCTTAGCAGGATGCAGCGCACCCTTCATGCGACTCGCCGAATATCTCACGGCGCTTCGCGCTTGGTGATGTGAGAGCCTGGTCCGGTGAGAACCCGGCGTGCTCCGTCCCGGCTTTGTAGGGATGCGAGGTCAATGGTCCAACGACTACGGCATGCACGACTATGAGTACACCCCCCCCCCCATCACTATAGATTCGTGGAATTTGCGAGTAAGACGTGATATTCTTCAACATACAGCGTAGCGGTGTATCGTCAAACTCTCGAGATGAAGGGTGCTGGTTCTATCCCCCCCGCGTTACGTGTCCACCCTGCGCTGATTATCTTGAAGGAGAGGAAAGTTGTCTGCCGATGTATCGCTTGATCAACCCAACCGTAGAGTGGAATACAATGGAAGGGAGGGGAATGCTAACTAAAACATTATTTTTTCTTTTCTCCTCCTTCACACCAATCCGCGCATAACCGTTTCCATGACCCGGCACGTTATGCCCGCTCGGCCTGTAAACCCCCAACGTTATCCCATGCAAAAACCCCTCCTTGGCCGGAGGATACACAACGCCCCCGTACAACCGTGCTCACTGGCCACCTGTGTAAATGATACCACACCTTGTCTGGGATGCGAAATGCCGACACCTCCTACTGTGCATTCAGTAAATAATTTCTTTAAGTTAATGGGTCGAAAGCAACCCGAGGCTAGCGAAACCGTTGGCCCTACCAATATATCTGCATCTATCATATGATTTCGGAAGCTCACCTTCACCCCGTTGGGACTTCTCAACAGAGGCAGACATACAGGTGGACGTCCACCCCCCTTCACCAAAATGTCGGATGCCCTCGCCCCCTTGTGGAGACCTTGACAAGGTCGAACACCCTGGAGAAGACAACCGAGGCCTCGAAAGGGGTGAAGTCGAGGTATTTTTGAGGCGTTGGTTGTCTTCTCCAAGGTGTTCGACCTTGTCAAGGTCTCCACAAGGGGGCGAGGGCATCCGATATTTTGGGCAAGGGGGGTCGACCTCCACCTGTCAGACGCGATGCGTCAAAATAACCCAAGGATACTTCTCAAGGACTACATGGCGCCGCTGCTGCCTACAGTGATACATATGTATAACAACGCCAACAGCTATAGTCTAATCAAACCATGCGTACTTGGGGAAGAACAGGCATCATTGGCAACAGACCCAACAATCTCCACAACGCACGCGTGAAAAGCCTACTACGTACGTACAGACACAATCCCCATATAATTGTTCAAGAATTGAACATTCTTTCTTTCCAACTTGGAGTCACGTACGTACACTAGACGGTGGCTCGAAACGTAATAAAATGGAAGCTGCATTTACCAGATGGTTAGGGAAATGGGTGGGCTTTTGTTCAGCACCCTCGGCGTTTCAACCCCTCCTCCCTTGGTAACTACTTGCAACCTGCATCGTCGTGGCAACACGACAGGGTCGATCTCTACGGTTACTGCATGCGAGTGCCCCTCCTTTTCCCTCGAGTCGGAGTCGCCTCGGCACCCCACCTGCCGTTACAAGGTTCGTAGCGAAGGGAGGTTGGATTAGCAGGGGGCAGGTCATAGCGAAAAGGACAATGTTCCACGGATACGGCCGTAAGAAAGCCCCAGGTACAAGTTGCCGCACTGGATTGTGTCCTAAAGAGCTGAATTGTGTTTTATCAATGTTTGAGCAGATTCCAAGAAAGTGGGTTCTGTAGGGTCAGGGCAGACGACACATCCGCCGTAGCGCATGGCGAGGGAAGAGAGGTTACCAGGAGGCTGGTGGCTTGCTATCCACAAGGAGGCAACACCAACAACGCGGCACAGTGTGGGACGCCGTCTCCACGCGGGGTACGGAGCCAACCAGGCGTGTTGCAAGCAAGCCAGCACTGGTGGCCAGAGGGGTAGGTTGGGTACCAACTACAACCTGGGGGGGGTGAGGTTGGGAGGGCGCGTTTGACCTTGAACCCAATTTTTCTTTAGGCTTGCAGCCCGCCGTCTTGGTTGGAATATTTTGCACACTTTTGGCTGCCCTTTCCCTGCAACCGCCCCGCCCTAGGTTGTAGTCGGTGCCCTAAACATACCTACAACCTGCTTCTGGTCACCAGTGAGGCGGTGTGACACTCGATCTCGGCACGCCATCATCTTACCTCCACGCCTTCCAGAAGAACGCACCACATTCCGTCGTCAGGCGTCCGGAAATAGGGGTGTACCACCTATCGCGCACGAAGCAAGGTGGGGTTCCGCCCAGGGCAGACGGCAAACACCGCAGTGCATAAGGAGCAGAAGATTCTGTCAGGGCAATACGACGACCACCTTTGATGAAGGTTTGTGTTGCTTAGCGGCGATCGTGACTCCTTCCGCCCCTGCTGTCCTTCCTTGTCTCCGGTAACTGTCGGCCTAGACATCAACACCTGGTCTTTTCTCTTCTTGTTGAACCCAGCGCAACGAGCCATGTCGAGGCCGCCCGGCGGCGAAGAAGTTCCACATCGAGACCCTCGCGCCTCGCTCGTATTGATTCCCGCGCAAGGTGCCCGCTAGCTGTGGGGTAATCTTTTGGAGGTGTGTGCTTCTCGACGCCCGCATGTCATGAAAAAATCAACGTTTCAACTGTGCACATATTCAAAGCTTGGAGGTGCCAACAAATTAGAAGCATACGTATTGAGCATCGTGACGAAGTCGTCCAACACAGGACCCACATCCGGAATGAGGATCGGCATAGACTTGGCCAGCAGCTCGAAAACGTTTCAACCACCAGTCGCACCTTGACATGCAGTTTATTCGCAGCCCAATCCCCTCTATGCCAGCTGCTCGGCAACATTTCGAATACCCATCGTGTCTTTCTCGCATTCAAATCCGAAGGCAAAGGACCACAGGAGGGATGGGGAGAGGAGTAAACGGTACAAGTGCTGTGAGCGCTGATCTGAAGTGAAGACCAAAAACAAAAGCGTGTCTTGCACACCTTGACACGCAGTCTTAACTGGGCCCAATCGCTTGTTCCTTCCATTTCGCTCCGTCGGGCGGCGAAAACTGTGCCCTCTCTCGGTTCCAATATGGAAATCGTTGAGTGTCGGGAGACCTGGCGCACCCAGCAGGGACCGGACGCTGGTGAGGTGGTGGACATGGCTTGACAATACGAACATGCAACAACGGCGTTATGTTGCTACTGTACAGTATCGGTTTTTCAGTTTTTTGTGGCATCCGTTCTAGGCCCGCTGATGGTAGTTTAGGTTGAAGCGTCGCTTGGTTGGTTCAACGGGCGACACCAGGGTGTAGCAACCAAGTAGCGTTGAGCTCCCCATCAACGTGGCAACCAAACGCCATAACGGCAATACCGAAAACTACATATCCCCAGTCATCCTTGGTGCCGCAGTACACGCCTAACCAACGGCATCGTGGAAGCGCTTCCTCACCCCAAACAAGGTCTGCTCGACCTTGTTCTTGAGCCTGGAGGCAGAAGGGCAAGTCTTGCCTCCCGTTTCTTCCGCGAAGTAGCCTCCCTCTGAAAGGACCGACCTAGGGCACGAGCGGCCCTGCCGTTGCGAAGTATTTGTTTTTTAGGGGGAGGCGTTTCGGCAGGCACGGTCATGTCGATCTCTGTCGGGCGGCTCGCAAGGCAACGCACGCATGATGACTCGTTTCGTGCATTGCTTCGGGCGAGGCAACGGTTCGTGCTCGCACGGCTACCGCTACGTGAAGCGCCTTGAACCGGTGTTCTACCTGACCGTGGAACAACGTCCTTCGCGTATGTTGACATGACGGGGCTCTATCTCGTTGGAGGGGCCGAGTCTGGTTTCCACGCAAGGCTTCCGAGGGCTCGACAGGAACAAACGGCGGTGCCTCAAGCGCTCAACCAGATCGCGCCACCCGGTGCGTGTAGCACGTCCTGGGTATGGTTTCTGGATTTTTCTGCCTCTAGCGGACATTGATGCATGGTGGCCTTTTGCTCTCAGTCCTGGTACTGATTGAGAGGTATTGGCAACCACGCGTGTTCGTGCCACATAAAACTCTCGGCAAAGTACGTCGCGATCATTCCCAAGAAACACATCAAACCCCAAACTTCGCGCTCGTTCGACCTTGAGAAACCTCGACCCTTGAGTTAACTTCGGGATCTCACTCTCTTTCTTGCCAAGAAAACGCCGCTCGAAGACGACGTGTTTCGGCTACTATCGCAGCGTCTCACCTCATCTCACCTCGCCGCAGCCGCCAAGGTGCTCAACCCACTCGTAACAGTCCAGTCGTTGAGCCTCCAAAAACGTCAGAGCTTTGCCGTGTTGTCCTGCCATCCCGTGCCGTCGTCTCGCGATCTCGTGTTCTTGTCTCCCAAAACCGTGTTGTTGTTCCGCACTCTCAGGGCCACCGGCGGCGACAGCGAGAAACGCCGTGCGCACGACGCGCGAAGCGTGTTCGCCGACGAGACGGTGGAGAAACCACCTCTCCAAAGGGTCTCCCACCTGTTTCGGGCGGAAATTTGTTTCAAGAGATTGGTTTTCAACACCTGCTGGATTTCTGCCAGTGTGCATGTCCGATCGTTTAGCACCGAAAGATGAGTCGAAACATAGCCGAAACGCGGCGCGTAACGAAACCTACGGAGTGGCCTTGGCGTACAACAAGAAAAATATGTTAGCGCGCAGTACAATAGGGGGGGCAGTTTCGTGACCCCCTGCTTCGCGACATACCCTGTTTAGCGACCACCAAACAAACTACGTTGCACCGCCGCACTAACTGCTACTTCGTAATACTAAAGTAATTGGTAGTTCGGTTTAGCGACCTGCCCTGAATGGCGGCTACATTTCGTCTTGACACTACTTCAGGGGTCGGTAAACTGGGCCGCCCCACTTGAGTGACAAAGGCACCAATAACAGCTCCTCCCGGTCGAAGTGAGCTCTACGAAGAGGAGTGTCCGAGTACATGCTGACGAGGGGAGCCCTGCTTTCCCACACCTACACACATACCAAACGAGAGGCACGGAACCACCCACGAAAACCGGGACATGGGGAAAGAGGCTCCTGCCTGCGGTCCTGACAGGGTCCAAAACAATATTGAAACCTTTTATAGCAGTCGCCATCCCCACAACAGATGCATACACGAACCACGAAACAGAAACTTTATATGGCACCGGCATCCTCACATTCGAATACACGATGAGCATGCTTACGGAGCAGCACCACTCCATGAAGCCGTGCGCCTCGCGGGCAGCCTCCACGCCAAGAAAGTCCACGTCCAGCGTATTTCCGTGCTCTCCGTGGGCGGCCGCTGCGCCGTGCAAGATGTCGTGTGGAGGTAAGGGTTCGGGAGCGCGCGGGGCGCGGCGTGTGACTTTGAAAAATTTCATGTTTCTCCACTATTGCTCTTTCTTTTCCGGGCTCATTGATGACATGGGGATTTTTGTCTTTTCATGTTCAACATCACTCATCCCTCAATGAAGTACGAGTCTGGTCGCTGGCTAAGACACATGGATCGAAGCACTCTGTGGTACCAGTGGTTGGCCGTCGGTCGTGTTCTGCCTTAGACAGCACATTAAACGGGTGGACAGCGAGGCCGGTCGTCTCCTCGGAGTAGGGTACTGGCGCCCCGGACTCATGGCTACCTCTTCGTCGATGTGTTGGCTTCATGCTCGTTTCGCTTGAAATACCGCCCAAGCCATCTTTTCTTTGGGCTACCTTGCTAGAGCCCTATTTAGTTCTTCGGTGTGTTAGCTTCATGTTCGTTCGTCTTGGTATTCCGCCCGAGAAAGGGTATTCTGATGGCTACCTCGCTAGAGCTCTAGCTCTTCGTCGATGTGATAGTTTTCTGTTTCGGTTTCTCTTGGTGTCCCACCCAAGCAAGGGGTATCTTATGATTACCTCGTCAGAGTTCTAATTCTTTTTCGTCGATGTGCTAGTGTCATGGGTCGGTTTCTCTTGGTGACCGGCCCAAGCAAGGGATACCTTAAGGCTACCTCGTCAGAACTCTAGTTCTTCGTCGTCCATGTGCTAGGTTCATGGATCGGTTTCTCTTGGTAATACGCCCAAGGATTCTCCACGCACCCGAGAAAAGAAAAAGTAGAAAAGATGACCAGACGAGGACGTAAGGATAGGGAAGGCAACCGACCGTCCCTACATGTCCATCTCTACCGGGACGGGGCGATTTTTTCGTGGTTCACCTCGGCCTGCATCCGCCAGCAGCCGGGAGACGCGGGTCTGCAGGTCCTGCAGCCGAGAGAGTTCCTCTGCCCCAATCCGTCGCCCCCATCCGAAGCACTCGACGCCCGAATCACTGACGCCGAGGGTCTCGGCTGTTGTCTCCATGAACGCTATTCTGGCGCCGCCGGCCACGGCTCCGGCCGCGGACTGGAGGTCCCGCCGCAATTGCCCAGGGGGTGGGGACTCCGATCGGTACACGACAAGGACCAGCGGAGCGTTCGGCCGCACCACCAGCGGCGTCTTCTTTCGCCCCAGCAGCTGGGGCAAAGGATAGTCGGGGTTGCCTGAGTCGTTACGGGATGTTGCTCTCTTCGTACCATCCCCGGAACCGCCGTTGCACGGTGTTCCTGTTGTCGAGGTATCGCTGGAACCGTAATGGCATGCGCCGCTTGTCGTGTCATCCTTAGAGCCGTAACAGAACCTCCTTTTTGTCGAATGATCCCCGGAACCGTTACAGGGTGTTCCTTGTGTGGCATCATCCCTGGAGATGTCCCCGCTGCCGGTGGCGTGTTCGCCGGCACCGTGCACGAGGGGTTGAGCGTGGTCCGGTCGTTGGTGCGCCCGGACCGGAGTCGCCGCCCTTAGCGATGGCGACGGTGGAAAGGGATCGTGATGGGGGCGTGATAGTTGTCGTAACTCCTCCGTAGCAGCATCTTCACCAGGGGGCGTTCCCTCTGCAGGGCACGAGGGCACGGTTGTCGTCAAGTTTTCCCCACCCTCTCCAGGTGCCGTAGTCGGTGTAGGGCATGCCGTGAACTCGACGGCGTTGCGACAAGCTCTACCCGATTGGCAACAGCTTTCGACACCGCCACCCCCCGTCGGCATAGCGGTGGCATTCACGGCGGCGGCGATAGCATCAGCGCCGGCGGCACCCCTCGCGGGAAGATCACCCCGCGCCGTGGCCGCTGCCGTCGTCTCGCCCGGTAGCAAGGCCAGGCGCCGGGCTGCTGCCGACGAAGCTTCTCCCGCTGCTGATGTCTCCTCCTGGTTTTTCAGCGCTACCACTTCGTCCATGCTCGAGAGAATCGTCACCACGCGTGACGCGAAGGTGTGCTTGGACAGGACGAGCTCCCGGCCCCTCCTGCCCAGGTCGGTTCGTGCGGTGTCGTTCCCGAGCAGGTGCTGTTGCGGCAGGCAAGTCGAGGCGGGGGGGCGATCTCAGGGGGATGCCAGAACGGGGGGGGGGGG